CAAAGGAATAAGTTACATAATATTAAAATGTTACACTGATTTATGCGCTCTTCGAATTTTTTCTTTTTATACAAAAACATCACTCGTCGGCGTCTTTTTCCTGTGTTTTAAGACAAATTTTATCACATCAAAAAATTGGGCTGAAAAGGGTCGATGATTCTTTGCAAAGAGATTTTTGTTAAGCGCTCAATCATGAAGGTCATCTTTTATTAAAATGACCCTTACAGCCAAAGAAAACTTATGATCGTCGCTAAATATTACGCACATCACGGGTAGACACAAACAATTTGACCTCTAATTTCATAAAGCAACTTCGTCAATACTGGTTGACTAAAAACAAGTTATAGAGTTGACGAGTTGATCTGATACGTTAGAAAAAGAAGTGGAATTTGCTCAATCATAGTCAAAATGGTGCGATCAAAGCAAATAGAACAGCGACTTTAATTAGCGAACTATCTCGAAGAGGAAAAAGATGCAAAACGGTTGTTCAAGCCCACAATTTTCTTATAAGTTTGGGCAGCAAAAATTTGAAGTTGTTGTTATTAATTGTTTTTGTTTCAGTTTCAAAGTCGTACTAACGCCTATACAACAATCATTTACAAATAAAGATTAAAAAAAAAAAAACTATGAAATAAACAAAATTCATCAATCTTTTGATAATAATGAATGTTTATAGTCCGCTGTTTTTTTTTTGCTATTTATGTCTTCATATAGTAGTTACAGGAATGTAACTATAGGTGTTTTACGCAAAAATCAAATACCTTTTATTTTATTGAAAATCCCTCAACGGTGCACCAGTTTCATAATTTAAAAAAACAAAACTTTGCTACCAAAGCAATACTTATGTTTTAAATGTGTGTCTCAATTGCCTCATGCAAAGATACCAGGGCCCATTTGTTCGAACGCCGGTTAGCGCTAATTAACCCGGGGTTAAATTTTAACCCGGGTTTCTTTATCTTTTTATCAAAAGCACTTTCATGGATAATTTTCTCTATCCTTTTTAAAGTATCCAATTATCAAATTGTTGGCTAATAGAATTAAACTGAATTTGCTTTTTAATCTCTCACATTTGAGTTCAAATTTCTCACTAACCCAGGGTTATCGATCTTAACCCAGCTTCGAACAACCCGGCCCAGAAGGTTATCGTAATTAATATTTTAAAATGTTAAACTTTTGA